GCATTCCTTCAAGGAAAGTTGATACCCGTCTGTTTAGTGCCTCCGTGTGTGTATTGATTTTAAATACAAACAAACAAATATACCTGTGTGTGTGTGAGGAGGGATCAGTGGGTGTAGGCAGACACACACAGCATTTTGGAGTCATCCAGCATGGGTGCTGTGGCACAGCTGCTTCTGGAGAGTGTGTGTTTACATGTTGAGGCCAAGGAGCCTGGGTAGTACTTTTATCTCTGGCATCAGTCTGCCAGATGGGTTGGCTTGGACCTGTCTTTCTCCCACTGAGTTTCTGTGCTCCCCTTTATAACTTCTTTTTGTTCACTTCTTTTTGATCTGCTGTTCAAGTGTGACTATGCGAAACTCAGTAATTGTTATCATGTGACTTTTTCTACTATATTTACATGTGGATGGTTAGTCAATAAATCAGTCTGAAATTGATGATCAATAGTTACTGCTAGCTTATATTCCTGAGCACTACAAAACAACAAATAGTTCAGGAATTGTTAGTATATTGTAATAGGCAATTATTTGCTAATGCAGCTAGATCAAACACTTGTCTGACCTGCACTGAGGCTGAACTTGACATCAGCTGTAGGCTCCTCTCACCAAACGTTGCATATGTTACTGTCAGTTTAGGTGCTTCTACTGCAGATGAGAAAAGGCAAAAACCCTTGGGAGTACACTTCTTTCCTCCTTTTTTAGGAACAAAATATCCTCCACTGTCTCTCCCTGGACTGCAGTGAGGGTTGCTTGCCTGACTTACACTGAACTCCCAACTTGTAATGAACCAATGTAGGTGACAGACATCTTATGCACTTAACTACAGCACATTTGATATCTGGCAGATCTAGAAATATTTTCTGAGAAGGTAAAGCCATTAAAGTAACCTTGGTTAGAAATAATGCTAAAACTTGAGGGTCATAAAAATGGTGTTAGGTATCTCATTTAGCAGTAAACTTATTTCATAATGATATGAGAAAAAGTATGAAACAAATACTGGACTGTATAAAGAAACATTAAAGGTTTGGTGAAGTACCTTTGGTAGTTTGAAGAATTATGTCAAAAGAGTCTTTTGATTTAATCTGTGGCTGAAATAGGTTTCTGTGAGGTTTCTCATCATAATTAAAGACATGATCTGTTGTCACCAGTACTTTCCTGGGGCTTTCCTAGAAAAAGCTAAGGCCCCAGAAAAGTCTGGAGTGACCCATTTAAAACCATTCTGTATTTTTTTTCCCCAGTAATTTGTATAAAGCAAAACTCTGAAAAAAATTCTGAAATGTCCATGGGAAGTTAGTGCTTCTCTCTGCCCCTGTGACCTTACCTCACATTGCCAAGCAGAATCCCATCTTCCAGAGTAGAGGGAGAGGTGGCATTGGCTTGGATGTTTAGAAACTGGTTAATAGAATAACCTCTAAAGTTACCCTTTGATGAGTGGGAGATTTGAGGTACGCCATATGATTACAGTGACATTTGCTAGCATGTTCCAAGGAACTGGTCACCAGTCTTGCTGAAATTTTTTTTTCTCAGTGTATTCACACAGTTCTTCCACTCATTTCTTTGGTAGCTTGTGCCCTTCATTAATAACTAACAAGGTGATGATCAGTCATGTAGAATTCCTGTCCCCACTGAAATCCAAAGCAAAACTCACAGAGAATTCAGTGAAACAATCAGCTTGAGAATCTTTTTATTCTATGCTCTCCTTTGCTTGTTTAAATACTCCTAATTTCCATGTTGGAAATGGACCATCTTTTTTACCAATGCTACAAACAGTACATGGCTTTTCTTTTCATAAAGCAAAATATGTTATCCTATGTCCAAGGAAGATATTTTTGCATTTATCACCCATGACCCATCCATTCATTTCTGAAAGAACAGCATCTCTCATTGAGACCCAAGATGATCAAATGGATTGGGACAGATTTTGTATTAAGTTTATACTGACAGAGCCTTGGAGGTTCAAGACAAGGCCTACATATTCTAATGAAACTGCAGGTATACAAAACCTGAAGTTATACCATGGACTGAAATATAGTTGCTTGCCCATAGCAACTGAAACAGTTGCAAAAGGTCCTTCTACCACCTAAGAATTTGTTTTATGAAAGTAATTATTTCTGAAAGCTGGAACTGAGAAGAATGGAATAAGTTTTTAAGATAAAACTGCCAGATGTGCTAAGTGGTCAGATAGGAACTACTGGACATGGGGGATTTCCAAACCTTGTCATCACTGAGAGCCTTACTCCCTGTATTTTCCAGCAGTCACTGTGAGATTGACAGTTACAATTATAATGTAAAAAAACCAGTAAGGTCTTAAAAATCTGGGGGAATGGGTGCCCCAGATTTGTGTCACTGCTAACAAAAAAGCTGTATGTCATTTGAGAACCTACACAGCATGCTGGTATGGCTGTCTCAGCCACACCCAGCAATCACTGGGAGATTGACAGTTACAATGATAATGTAAAAAACAGTAAGGTCTTAAAAATCTGGGGGAATGGGTGTCCCAGATTTGTGTCACTGCTAACAAAAAAGCTGCATGTCATTTGAGAACCTACACAGCATGCTGGTATGGCTGTCTCAGCCACAGGAAGAGGGGTGTCCTAAACCTGCATATTAAGAGAATATTACAATAATTTAGTTAGAAGACAGAAAACTGCAGTGAGCCCTTTCATGCCCATTCTCACAGAGCTGCTTCTCTGCATTGTATGTACAGAGGTGCAGGTATCTCATAGTCCCAAATGGACACAAGCAGCTTTGCCAAAAACACTCACACAGCTGTGTGAAGTGTAAAGGTCTACTCTACATTGGCCAGCAGAACTGTAGGTTTGTAAAGCAGATAGCACTGGAAGATTTGCAGCTCCTGTCTGGACAATATCTGTTCTCAGCTCAGTGTGTACAAGAGTGCAGAATGCCATCTTAAAAGAGCAATTGGAAAAGAAAGGAAAATAGCAAACAGGAAAAGCACAGTTTGAGAACAAACCTGAGAAGGGGCCTCAGAGGATTGAGGAACTTTGTGGCTATTAAGGCATTGACTTCAGTGGGAATGAGGCTGAAGAATCACAGACCAGTGAGGGTTGGAAGGGACCCACAAAGACCTCCAGTCTGACCTCCTGAGGCAGATTGCATTGGAGCAGATTACACAGGGCCTTGCCCAGGCTGGGTTCTGACACCTTTAAGGATGATGATTCTCTGGGTGCCTCTTTCAATGTCCAGCCATCCCCATGGTATTTTTTTTTCCTCACTTTGAGTGGGAATTTGATATTGTAGCTTGTTTTCCTTATTGTACACTGCAGTAAGACTTCCCTGTCAAGTCTTCTCTTCTCAAGAACAAATATAGTTCTCTCAGCCTCTGCTCATGTGTCCTGTGCTGTGGTCCCCTGACCAGCTTGGTAGCCCTGCATTGAATTCACCTTAATGTGTCTTTGTCTGTCTTGTACTAGGAGCCCAAAAGAGGCCACAATCCTCCAGACATGCTCTCAGAAACAGAATGGCAAAGATCCATTTGCCCAAGCCTGCTGCCTACACTCCTGCTAATACAGTCCAGCCTTCGATTGATCAGGGGTGCGCTGCTGATGTACTCATTTATTTATGTTGAAGTTCTCAGTTAGGACCCTCAGGACTTTTTCTGCAAAGTCAGTTTTAAGGTAGCAAGTTTTTGTCCAGCTTGTCCTGCTGCATGGGCTTTTTCCATCACAGACATGGGGCTTTTCGTCTGACTTCGTGCTACTCCCTGAGCTTTGTCCCAGCCCACTTTTCCAGCCTGTCCAGCAGTGTATTGACTGTTCCCCTCAGTCAGGTGTTGGTGCAGACTTGCAGAGAGCATAAAGGAACGGTATGCCAGAGTTCATTGAAATAGGTAACTTCGTCTCACTGAAAAGTCTTCATGTCTTGTGAGCAGGATGTGAGGAGTTGCAAGCACAAACAGCTTCACGTTATGTGCTTATAAACAACTGGTAAAAATAACTCAAGGTCACTGCAGGTAGTTCTTTCCTGCAGAGTGAAGTCAGTACCACTTTATCATGAGTCTATCACTGGATAGAGTGTTAGAGGACAAAAATTTCAAAAATTATACACTTAGGACTGTGTTCCAGGATGGATCACACTGAAGTATATGGACTGGCTGGGGGGAAGTGGTGTATCATACATCTGAGACAGCTCAACCAGCTGAGGCAGTCTTTAACTGTAGAAGTAGATTTCACAATCTTAATATAGAAGAAGAGTTTATTTTCCTTTAGCTGATCTCTCCATCACATGATTTCCAGTCTGATGTCACAGCTGCATGATTTGTGTAACATGTCCAGACTATTCATTTTAGTGTTAATAGTTTCATTTTTGCTACCTGTTGGTGTATTCACCAAGATTTTCACCTTTTGGATGTTGCCAGAACTGCCACATTTTTCCCCTACTTTATGTCCACGGCCACACTTCTCAGTATTTTCTTTCCTTTGGTGGAAGATTGTGGGAGCCCAGTAGCAATTCCCAAATCCCTAAAAAGTGATTAGCAGTTATTGTTCTCTAAGTGCTTAATAGGGAGATTAAGACAGGCCACCAGGTGTTTACACAATAACACTTGGTAGCGTGGAAATTCAGCTCTCACTATTAAAAGGCGTAAGGAGGGTAAATACCCGCCCTTGGAGAAACCAGCAATTATTTTGATGTTTGTATTACACCTCATTTTCTCCAGTAGATTGTGCAGTTCTGTTATTTCTTAACTTTTCATTCCCTGATAGGGGTTTGTCTGTGTTTAAAGTAGCGGGATTGATCTGTAACCACGAGATCAGTTTCTGTTAAAAGTGTTTTTCTTGCACGATCAGTTGGCTGCAAAGCTGCATTTTTAGTCCATCCCTTTGTATCTAACATGGCATATTTGTATACAGCAACAATGGAAGGGAGCTATGCTTCACACTGAAGGTTTGAAATAAATGATAATGAAATAGCTTAAGAACAGCACAAATGCTCTTCTGTAACAAATCGTATCATTCATGGTGTCTCTTTTTTTTCTATTGCAGGAGGTTGGAAGCATTATCGGAAAGGTCAGAAAATAACTTTATATTCATGTTAAACTATTGTATATCATTTCTCTTTTCTTCGCCCAGGCTAACGGGGGTTTTTTATGCTTCTTTAACAGAAAGGTGAGACAGTGAAGAAGATGAGGGAGGAGGTAAGACAAGCTTTGATGTCTTCACTTGCCTTCCTTTCCAGCTCAGAGAACAGTGAGTTCAGCATGTGCAGACCGATGCTGCCATCAAGTGGGCCGATCGTGTAACATCCCCGTTCTTTGCAAGCGGTGGGCTATAAACATGCTGGCCTAAATTAAACATCGTTGTTAATGTAGCCTCCTTATCGCTGCAGCAGTCTGGAGCCCTTCATTCCCCTAGCGATGTGCCTGCTGCTGCCTTATCTCAGGAACAGCTCACAGCATGGTTCTGTGCATCAGACCCACTGTATCTTTCATTAGCATACCAACATCAGTCCTGCACATGGCTTGGCCTCCTGGTAGAGTTTCCAAAAATCTGAAACCAAGCGTTAGACTAACACACGTCAAGTTTGAGGGTAGACACAAGCTTCAGCAGAGCTGGAGCCAGATGTGTGTAAGCCAGAGCATCTCTCTGCCATGTCTTGGCAAAGCCTTAGCTTTTCCTCATTTTGAAGCTGTGAGTAGGATGTGGGCAGGGTAGACCTGCACACCTGCCATTCACATCCTTTGAAAAGGCTGAAAACAAATAGGATTAAAACAGGGCACTGCATAAATCTCAGCCTCCCCAGTGTCTGCAGTCTTCTTTGTGTGCCACAGAACAAGCTGTGCTGTCTTCAGAGGAGTGTGCTCGGGTGGAGGCTAGAGACCCACGCTGGTCCTGCAAGGCAGCACATCCTACCTGGAGATCCATGTAATTTTTCTGCTTTGAAGCAACTGCTAAAACTATAAGTCAAAAGATAAATCCTACTGTTTTAAACTTTAGGAGTGCAGTGCATAGAGGATGCCTCAAGGAAAGTCAGTTTGCCTCTAGTAAAGCTGCAGTACATTACTGTGTCAGCTGCTTCGTTGTTTTCTACTCTGATAGAAGGTCTGTGGCAGGGAAATGTCAAAGTATTTTAGTAAAGAAAATTGCAGACATCCATCTTTAAATATACACAATAGGGATTTCATTGTCAGGCTGACTGAGTTCTGAGCTCCTTTTTGATGACATGTTCTCACCCATATTTTCACACGTTTTCTAATACTTTAAAAAAAAAAAAAAAAAAGAAAAAATTTTCCATTGTACTAGGTAAACATAATTCAACACATTTTAATGTAATTATTAATTATGACCATGAGCAGATATGTTTGTACATAAATTGTATGCACAGAAGGGAAGCCATTATTGGAGAGTGCTCCTAACTTCTGAGTAAAACATCTTAGAGAATACCTATGATGCTTGATCTGTTTTTCAAGATAAATATCAAATGTTCTTCTTCCATTCCTGAACCCCTGCTGTCATGTATATGTGGTCAGAAGACACTTTATTTTCTTGATTTTTTTTTTAAATAATAGAATTGTATGTATCTTTATATCAGCACAGGACTAAGAGGCTGTATCTCCACATGATGATAACTTGGTCACTCTTTAAATTACTACCTTTTTCAGTACTTCTTTAAAAGGAAAATGCAACTTTTATTTTGACTTCTCTGGCAGATGTGGCAGGGTGCATGCCATCTTTATGGTGTGAAATGTATCTCTGTCTTTGGGAAATGTCAGAGACAATGCTGTCATTGAGGAAATGTCAGAGACAACTTCAGGCCTAAAGAAAAATACAGAACCCTCAGTTCTGTGCCCAGGTCTGTGGCAGGAAATTTTTTCTATCAGTAGTGTTGAGCCTTGGTTTTTTTTCATGTTGTGTGGGGGTGCTGTGATATGAGGAAGCACAGCCTCTTGCAGTAGAGCAGCAGCACAGGGTGGTTAAGGGCTGGAACAGCACATCAGCAGCTGTGTGGTGACTGCAGGCAAAGGACCAGACTAACCCAGCTTGTCTCACATTTGCTTCAGGCCCTGATCCCCAAGAAGATCAGTGCCTGTGGGTGAGTTGAGGCTCCAGAGTCTTGTTAGGCTGCATTAACACATTTCCAGGACTGAAATCTCAGAGAACACATAGGGTGGCTCTTACCTGAACTGGATTTGATCATTACCTACATTAAAGAGCTTCTTAAATATGTATTTAAAAACATATAAATTTCTTAATATATAAAACCTCCTGGTTGAGACATTTTCTCTGCACTGCTACTGTGGCATGAAGAGCACCGAATATACTTGCGAACCAGCCTGGCTTCTCTTTGAGACTTCTGATTTTCTACCTCCACCCAACAGGCTCCTTGCCCTATGGACACAGTACTGTTGGTGTGTCCTGTCCTACCACTAATCCTTTAGAGGGATGCTCAGTGCATGTTGGCTGGCTGCCTTCACATGAGGCACATCTACAAGGAGCCTTCTCCACAGTGCAAAGCAAGGCCCCAGTAGAGAGGCAGAGAAGCCAAGCCCCACCTTTGGGGCTCCAAACCAGAGAGGTGCATCGCTCCTGGGAAATGCTGGTGCTCCCTGGAGACAACCACCTTCTCTTAAATTCTGCAGCTCCAGTCCTGCTTAAGGTTAATCCTTCAAGCAGGAAGGAAAAAGACTTGATTATGCAATTATTTGCAACTTTGAGTTATAGAGATGCTATATGCATGCTGCAAAGAAGGCTGCAGAAGTATTTACCCAGACAGAATCCGGCTTCCCGCAGTTACATGAATTTTTCCAATGTGATCAGTTTATGCTGAAATTATATGATGTTGGGGCTGCAGTTGTAGGGGAGGGAATTAGATGCCTCAAGGTATTCCTTCCCAAACTATATTCCTAATCCTACTTTGTTTGCTCCCTAGGAAGTATAACTTTGAAAAATATTTGTTCCTTTTGACAGAGTGGTGCACGAATCAATATTTCAGAAGGCACTTGTCCAGAGAGAATTGTGACAATAACAGGCCCAACAGATGCAATTTTTAAAGCTTTTTCTATGATTGCACTAAAATTTGAAGAGGTAAGCAAATAATTTTTTTCTCTCTTCAAGTTGAAATACAAACACTGTTTGAATTTTCTCATGTTTGCTTTAATGTTAAATAGGATTTGTTTAATGTTCTATTTAATAGCAATGAAAGTGGTTATATTTTTATAAATGCTTTTGGCAGCAATGCTGAAGAAAAATAATGGGTCAATTTAGAAGATGTTTGATCATTTCTTTTGCTTTTTGGAGGCTTCAGGGAAAAGCAATTGCTTCTAGTAATGTGTGCTAATGGTAGGAAAAATGTCTTGGAAAAATTCTATTCCCATTGTGGGTTTGATTTGAAAAGAATAATTGCCTAACTTTTAACTCTGTTTCTGTATGAATCCAGTTGGTATTGATGTAAATGTTATATATGTCAAAATGAATATATAACTCATTTAACTAGATTTTTTTTTTATTTCAAAAACAAACTATATGATTATCCATTACCACATTTAAGACTTGTCTTTTAAAACAAATTAAAGGCACTCAGAGTAAGTAAGGCAGGAGTTCAATTCACTGTAGACAAAGTGTTCTGTGCAGATATGTATCTAAATTGCTGAGATTTCCTTCAGTTTCGTGGACCAGCTACAATTAGATAGAGTCACCATTTTAATGAAAAGGCAGCAGAGTACAGAACATGAACCATGGTCACTCTGGAGAGGATTTAACTCCCTCTGCTTTTGAAAATCCTAGTGGAGGAGCTTGCAGACAGGCAGACTGCGTCACCTGCAGCTGAAGCAAAGGGCAGGGTCTCTCCAGAATGGATTAAATTAGAGGGATGTTAATCCCTTTCTTAAGAGTTCTTATTTCTCCAAGCCTGCAAGGTTAGTCTCCACATCTCCCCACAGCACAGGGAGGTGGAGGAATTGATGAGAATTGTCAACATGTGCCTTTATTTACACATGGCAAATGTTCAAATTTAGAGCAACACAGCTACAGGAGAGCTCATAAGTCACCAGATGCAGTTGTCTTCTAGAATCAACTGTATGGCTTGGACTTGTAACTTCACAGCATGATCAAAAGCTAGTTAGATTTTTTTCTATTTGCTGATACTGGCTCCACAACTTCAGGTCTCTGATGATTAGACACTTTCTTTTCGCTCCTCACCTGACTTTATTGATGAGCAGTTCATGCAGCTTTGTTTCTATGCCAGCACTGGCCAGTAGTTTAGGTAATTCTTGCCTTTCCATCCCTGAGGATTCCCTTTCTGGATATATATTTAGAAAATTATTTTATCCCCACACACCTTTGCTTTTGCCAGAGAGAGTGATCCAAGCACAGTCTTTCAGAGGATGCATTCCCCACCCCTCTCATGAGTCTAGTAGTCCCTTTCCACCTTTTTCCAGTTGCATTTTATCTTGAATGTCTGTGTTAATTGTGGACAGGTTGCAAATGAAGTTCCACAAAGGCTTATTTAACAGCTTTACCGTCCCCTGTCCTGCTTATCACGTTGTCATATCCCTGCCACTGCTGAAAATGCCTCACCTCCTACTAGTTTAATGCTTTGCACACAGCCATGCTTTGCCTGGTGGGTGACCCCAGCTCCTGCTCAGGTGTTTCCGCCTCTTCAGTATTGGCAAACATTCCTGTAAGGCTCCAGACAAATGACCTTTTTTTTTCATACTGCAGGTGTTAATCCTATTTATATTTCTTCAATCCATCATGGGTTTTCATGTTTCCTGCATGATATTCCAAACTTTCAGTATGTTGATAAAATGTCCTAGTTTTGTGGCATGGCACATTTTATAAGAATGCTTGGGGAGGTTTTTGCCAGTTGTTAATGAAATAATAATGATTTTGAGGTTTAAGCCTGCAGAACCAGAGGTAATTCTATCTAACCCAATTTCAAAGCCTCCTATTGTCACCTCTTTCTCCTCTTCATCTCCTGCCCATCATGGACCAATCCCTGTTTCTTCTAGTTTAAGAGGCAGCTCAGTGCACAGTACCATACCCTCCAGTCCAGAGAATCCTGGAGAGAGCAGTGTCTCTGCCCTCTACAGGAAAAACATGTTCCTCATCCTGTAAAATGCTGAGAGAATCATTAGCACAGATAATCCCTGCCAGTTCCCACCAAAATGAGTACCCAGTGGAAATAATGCTGCATTTTTCATACAAACATCAAACACTGCACGGCATCAGATCCCCAGCCCACCACCCAACACGACGTAGTCTTTGAAAGTGCTGTAGGTAGCAACAGGCAAATAAAGCTGAAATTCAGGCATCTGGCTGGATTTTGCACTTATTTGCACTTGCAGGTTTTCGAAGGTAGCCTGGGCTCTTCATATGAGTATTAGCAAAGGAGTATTGGCAATCTCTGCAGATCAAGTACTGCTCCGAAATAAATCTGTATTTAGTTTAACATAATTGGTTTGTGGTATATTTAAAAGAACAGCAGTAAAGAAACATGTATATATAATACCTATTGTAGATATAATACATTATATATATATATAATCAGTTAGGTTTCCTATAAATCTTCCTGCCAATAAAATGAGGCAACTGTAACACTCTGGAGGAAAAATAAAGTGCTGCTTCAAAAATTACAAATTAGCTAGCTACCAAGTGCTATTTTTCATGCATATCTTTTTTTTTTGGAGATTTCTTCAGCCATTTAAAAGATTCAGTCCAGCTCTGGTTATTGCAACTATGTTGAAACAGAAGAAAAAAGATGTATGTGTGAGACTGCTGCTTTGAGGGTTTGTTTTGTTATTTGTCATGCATGCCCACATGAAGACCTTGGACCCTTAATTTCTACCCTACAGCTATATACCTAGAGATAAGCAGGTGTAGGAAGTCCTGGAGTGCTTTCCTAATGCTAGTAAAAGTTTCAAAATATGTCAGAGAGATAGAAAAATAAGAAAGGTTGGGTTTGTCTTGTGGTTGTTCTGTAGCCTTATATAATTCTGCTTTGACAACCTTCCTAATGGAAGTTGTTTTTCTATCAGTCTTATGATGAATTTACAAGCTAAGTAGGTATTGACATGAATACCTAAAGTGTTCACTGCAGGGGACAAAGAGAGTTGTTAGAAAATGACACTAACCCAGGCAGACCCCTGGAACTACAAGAGGGGACATTTTAGCGCAGTCATTTTTGGACTGGAGGCTGAGACCCAAGAAACGCAGCTGTAACTTCACTGGCGACCCTGTAACTTCACTGGGGCAGCTCTAGCTTTGCTTGTAAGTCTGCATAATCCTCTGAAAGCACGTGGTACTTAAGCACTGGAATAACCAGCAGGCACAGCTCAGTAGTCAGAGCTTCTCCAGATGAATAGGAAAAGGAATTTTGGAATTCTTGTTCTTCTGTAAACATCTATGAAGCACTTGTATGGCTCTAAGGAAGAAGAGAAAAGGAAGGTGATAAAAGCAGTTAGGGTGATACCTTTCTGACAAACATAAATTCTTGCCAGTACAACTGTGATCAGTCCTGTAGTGGTCATTTCCAAGGGAGGAGCCACCTCACAGAATCCTCCTTGCTGTGGAAGTTGGACAGTTTAACATTTCCTTTGAAACCAGAAAAGAAGAATTTGGGTTTTTTTGGTTTTTTTTTTCCTTGGAGGTTTGGCAGAATTCTGAGCTGCCAGGTTAGTTTGTCTTGGGAAGCCTTATATACTATGACTCCAGGATGCCAAGAGCTTCTGCTGGCTCTTCAGCACTTCCAGGCTCCCAGTTATCCTGTCGTGGCTGAGGAGCAGCCCACCAAGCAGGGAGAAAGCCACGCAAGGTCCAGCTGTAGTGTCTGCCAAAGACCTGAAGAAATGGATGCATTGTCACAAAAAGTTAGAGGTTAAATAAATAGGAATCTCCCACTTTGAAAGATGACTCTTCTGTGGGAAAGTCTTGAGCCATCCCTCCTTGGAAGCCTGCAGTTCTGAGGGGGATTTTTGTCTGCTTATTTCTCCTTCGTCTTGTTTTTAAGCTGGAATAATTCCTGTATGCACTCCATGCTGCTGAGCCCCCATGTTTAGATTTTGCTCTTATTAATTAGTGAGGACAAAATAAAGAGAACCGTGGCTTCCAGTTCCTGCAGAAGGCAGAAAATTTCAGTGAAGGCTACATATGATATGGAAGTAGGAGACATGATTAAGTTTTGTGCTGTGTGACTGAAGAGGATTATTCACCTACATGTGCCTTCACCTGACACAAACATGATACAGCGAGATGGCATCTTCCAGCTGAAAAATCGGCATAACTTTATCTCAGATACATGGGTGCTGCAAAATTCTGTTATCCCTCTGGCTTTATTTTGGATTGCAGTCTCTCACTGACACAGCCACTAAACAGAACATGAGTTAATACTGGCTGGCAGAGGAATGATTTGGTAGCTGTCTTGTCACATGCAGCAATGCCTTGTTCCACTCAAGATTTTCTTTTCTTCTCTTTTAAGCTAATTAAGGTCATACCAAGCCTTTTCTTGGATGAAGGAATGCTGCCATCAAAACAGGGGACATACCATAGGAATTAGTGCTGGTGTCACCAGGCTCCCACACTGGTTCAGTGAGATGTGCAGAGTTGCTTTAAGTGCTGAGTAGTTTTGTTGTTGATTGTTTTTTTTTATAATTTGGGGTCCTGATTGCACAATATAGGCACTTTTGGTTGGTTGGTTGGTTGGTTGGTTGGTTGGTTGGTTTTTTTGGTACTGTTTTTGGTTTTTTGTTAAAAAAAAAGTGATAGTCTTTATAAGCATAGGAAATCACATCAGTTCTGTCTGACGGACTTAATAGGAAATGCATGTTTTCTCATTCCTGTCCTAATCTTTGGTAACATTCCTGTGGAGAGTATAATAGCTGTGTCATGCCACCTCACGGATGAGTCTGCTCAGTTCATAGCTAGTGTTACCAAAACTCTCTAAGATTCTCATGAGTTGTTGGGCAGCTGCAGTGCAGCTTGTGGCTTTTTATTTTTTCATCCTAAGTACCCTCAAAGCATCCCACTGATCAGTGGGAAAATAAGCTTTATCTTTTCCTCTGTGATGAAGTCTTTAGAGGGATTCTTTTGTCTTGCCTACAAGATTTTGAACAAGCAAAATCTATTTAAAACAATTTAAACCTTGCAACAAATTGAAGTGCTTATGAGAGTGTGTAATGTAGACTCATTGGACAGTGGGACACATGGATGTGTTTCATGCCTGGACACAGGCAATTACTGTTGTGCTGAGCTTTTTGTGCTTTGGTTACATAACCATGATGGATGGAAAATATTTTAGAAATTGTGAAGTGCTACAAATACTTATGGACCTGCTACAAAAAAGAAATTAAATCTAGAGGGTGGCAGAAGACTTATCAAAATCATCTGATTTTCTCTGCTTCAGATTATTCACATGTTCTTTGTCATTCCTTTTTTTAACTATTTTCCTTTGAATCCAATCTGGAAAGAGGCATGAAATGCAGAGATGTATTACACAGTATAAATTTTCTAACTGAGGTGATAGAAACAAGACCAAAACAGAGTGAAACTGGTTTTGGAAGCCTGTGAATCCAAAAGCCTCTTTGCCTTTTTCACCTATTTTGACTGGTTTAATGGCAGACACCATCTCCTCCTCCTAGTCCTGCCTTGTGGTTCCACAGCACGGATTTTGCAATGCCAGACATCCAAAGGGTTCCTCTGGCACAAGTGGCTTCATGCTTACAGTGTATCACCGGCAGAGCTGTGGTGGGCTTTCCTTACCACCAAAGCCAGCCACAGCTGGTTGCACACTCCCCAGCTCTCCTCAGACAGCCTGAGCATTTGCTCTGAGCCCTTCAGTGCTCCCCAAGAGTGACAAATCCCCGCTAATGCTCGCTGACACTGTGATTACAGGACATCAACGCTTCGATGACGAACAGCTCGGTGACAAGCAAACCGCCCGTAACGCTGCGGCTCGTCGTCCCAGCAAGTCAGTGTGGATCCCTCATAGGAAAAGGAGGTTCCAAAATCAAAGAAATCCGGGAGGTAAGTCTTGGGATGTGCTGGGGACACTGGCTAGCTCAGCATCCTACTGCAGTGTGCCCTGCCAACATCACCCACTGCACTTTGCTGATCACACCAACATGAGCACGTGTCGACTGGAAAACCTGGAAAAGCCTTGGTCTGAGAGGAGCAGGGGGTCCAGCACAGCTGCACTTCTACTTTTCTTGACACTAAAGACCACACGTGAAATAGAGAAACAGTTTTACAGTGTATAAAGTCTTTCATGCACAATTAAGCAAAGCAACAGTGATGAATGGCTCTTCAAGTTTCTTTTCCAGCACAGACCCCTGCCTAGCAATACTCAGGGGACCCCAAATCAAAGAGTTGCAGCCATTTCCAAATTAGTCACCGCCCTTACAGGCAGAGAAAAACCCAAGCAGCACTGGGGATTCCAGGCTAGTAGATCTACTTTCTAGAAAAGTGTGATTTTCGTGCTCCTTCCCTGTTTCTCCTTAATGTCACTGGGCCACAGTGACATTAAAGTGACCTGATCTGATGCATTCCAAACACAGAATTTATTTTTAGTCTAAACTTTAGCTAGAGGTACTCATTCAGTGTGCTAGGAGCCACTTTTTTGTCTAAACAAAAAATGCAAGGAGTACTGTTAACAATATAGCACATGCCAAGCCAAGGATCTGATGTTTGTAATCACTCATACAAGAAAATCAGGTACATGCACAGTTATATAGAGAAAATGTGAATAAACATTGCAGAAAAATGGATTGTTATTCTGGAGGAAGTGACAATATTCCTTCTAAATTTGAATTCATTCCAACATGGGATGAAGTGTTGAGTACTAAGATAACATGTTGATTCATTTTTTTTAGTTTGCCTATGTCAATACAAAAGGCTTTTGACAGGCTCTACGAACCTGAAACTCTGGTTTTTTTCATCTGAAATGTGGATCCAAGACAGTAGGTTTTATGGAGCTTTTAAGTTGATTTCTTAGTTCTGTTAAAATAGAAACAGGCATGAGTGTGAACTGTGTGCTAGTGATTGCTTAGCTCTAGGTTTAACAGCTGTCCATACTTCAGATTTTATATTAAATATTGGTAACTTCACTCCAGAGCACTATAGAACTGTGCCCAGGACATAGGTTTTTAAAGGTGAAATTGGTCTGTTGGTTAAATGAAGTGACTGAAGTGGTTATCCTGGTGAGCACAGTTTCAGAAGCAATTGCCCATAGTCTGGTACAAGGAAGTAAAAGGATAGTGTTTGGCCAAATAGGTGTTTTGGTAAGGCTAATGTAGCGAGAAGTCACACTGCACATCTTCTTAAGCATAAGGGTAATGGACAAAATATTACTTGTTTCTTGCTACTGATGAATGACCAAAGTCAGAGAATAAACATGATTAGCACTGGGAGTAAATGCATAAATGACTCTGGTACTTGGCAGTCTTTTGTGCTGGATGTACAGATACCCAGGAATGTACATTAAAAAGCACATACCAGGAAAGAGGGGGAAATCAAGGAGCATCCAGCCCAAAGTGTGGTCTAATTTCATCATTACAAAACATACTGAGCGGTTGCAAAAGGAGAGGTCTTTTGTGTTCAGTCATGCACCCAGGAACAACATGTAGGGTTCCAGTACTATTTTTGAGATAAGATTATGAAAAAAAAAAGAAAGTAAAAACATGAGGGATTGATCAAATTACAGTGAAATTCCAAAGTCTGTTATAGGGCATGGAATTGATACTTTGGCCTTAAACAGCACTAGTGAACAGAAGATTAAATCAGTACATTAATCAGTCTTTGGAAAGAAGGATAACACTTGTTGTGTATAACTAACAGGAAAACAAATTAACTCCTTGCTGACTGATGCAAAGTCAATGGTTACTGAGAATACTTGTATTTTAAAGCCCAAATACTGCATTGCAATAACAGTCAGGAATAGATCTTTTGTGCAATATGTTAAAGAGCTTAGTCAGCATCAAATGCCTGGGTTTTTCTCTGTTGGCTGAAAAGGTCTTCTGTGTTTGTGTAATAATGTCAAGGGTTGTTTGGGCCTCCAGTATTTTTTTTTTTTTAACTAAGACATACTAGTGCCAAGATCATATTTAAAAAACAGTGCAAAAAAAAAAAAAACCCAAAAGTGGCTCATTACTTTCTTGCATTCATTAATGAGCCAAAAGTTGATGATATACATATATTTAATCAACACTAATTAAGATTTAGAAGTGCTTCTGTACCATATAGCATAAGGAAGCCTCGAATTTCAACAAGAGACACAAGTCAGCCATCAGTAGATTAAAGAGCCATTTATCAGTAGATTAAAGAGTGACTCATTTGATTAGCTGAGCTTCTTCAATTATTGGGGCTTTTTTCTTATTATTTTTTTATTATTGAAGAGTACTTCAGCATTTTCACTTTTTAGTCAGCATTGCGACTGTCAGCCTTTGATAGGGTTAAAATGCTTCTCCTGACGTTCAGGTCACAGTTTGATTCCCTAACAGCTACTGAGGACTAAACTCCCTGGGGTGGTAGTGCTGGCAAACTGGCTTGAACAGCCAAATCCATGTCCAGGGTATGAGTTTCCAAACATGCTCTACCACATCCAGCAAAGACCAAAAAAAAAAAAAAAAGTTTAGGGGTGTACCCCCTCTGTTGTCTCAGTGAATGACTGCAGAGGTGCCATTGCCTGCACGGCAATGACAGTGTCTTTGCTCTGTCTCTGCTGAAGTCCACAGGAGCCCAGGTGCAGGTGGCAGGGGACATGCTGCCCAACTCAACGGAGCGCGCGGTGACCATATCCGGCACTCCCGACGCCATCATCCAGTGTGTGAAGCAGATCTGCGTGGTGATGCTGGAGGTAAGCGGGCGCCCTGCGTGTCCCTTCTCACTCAGGGGATGCTCAAGCACATCATTAATAATTGTCAGTTGCCATGGGTTCCCCTCGGGTGCTGCCTGCCATTCCTGTGCCAAGGATTTCCAGAGGCTCTGTTAAAATCTACTTCTCCTAGTGTTTGAGAGCCTCTTGCAGCATGGTTTAGCAGTCAAAGGCTGTCATGACATTGTCGAACAACCAGGTCCAGAACAGAGCTGCAGCTGTTCTGAAAGAAAGACATTTTATTCTGATGTAGAACAGGGCAAAAAACATCCAGCTGTTGTTTAAAATAGAAATAATTCTGACCAGCCAGGACTTTTTCCTTCCTTAACATCAGATCATTGCATAAGAACAATAAGTTTCATTTTGATGGCAGTTTTTTAGCCCTTAGATTAAATGATACACAAAATAAATTTATATAAAAAAACTGCATTTTAAACCCTTGCTGAAAATGCCCATAGTTTCCAAACCATTGACATTTTCAAAATTGTGCCCCTGTTTAATGAAATGCTTTAACATGCTTAATGAAGCTTCATAGCTTCATCTGACAGTGGCAGTAATGAAATCACAGGTGTCATACTGCCTGTTTTGGCCATGCACTCAGGTCTTCAGCTCTTCCCTTGAAGCCCAGACAGGAGGCACCTAGCGTGCTTCTGGTCTGGTGGGGTGGAGGGCAGGGTGGGCTGGGCTGGGTTATCTACATGTGTTGTTCTCTGAGGTGACCAATATTTATAAAAAGAGACATCTTTTTAATACAAGCTCTGCTTCATTTTACATTTTGACCGCTTTGTGTTTTTGTCTGCAGTCCCCACCCAAAGGTGCCACCATCCCCTACCGTCCCAAACCTGCCTCTGCACCTATCATTTTTGCAGGTGGCCAGGTAAGAGCAGACACCATTTTGGCTTCAGCTGGAAACCACACCGTCCTGGCCCAGCCTCAGCCAGCGCCTGTTAGTTTTCAACTTTTACTCTTTCTTGCCTGGTATAGTATTGATGTGCTTTGTCTACTGTGAGTGCTTACAGTTTGCAGGACAGGAGAACACTGCATTGCAAACTTCACACAATATTGTGACGATCTGGTATTTTACCAAGATTTAACATTGACTTCTGTAATTAAGAAAGGTTTGCCCTTCGGCAGATCAAGAGGTGTCCAAATCAGGAGCTCATTGAGTGGGACAGCCCTGCTTATTGTAGTGGTTGAGGGATTTTTTCCTTAACTTGAAGCTTCACTGGCAGTATCAGCAGTTTCATCAATTTTCAGAGGTGATGAAACAGTGGGACATTTCGGCTAATGAAAAGTGTAATTTTTCTCTCATAGTTTTCATACTTTTGGGGACAAAATAGTGCATTTTGCAGTAAGGATTTACACACACATAATTTCCACTGCTTGTAGTCCCTCAGGACCAAGTAGCAATGGAATTCTGAGGTGGCTACAACTACTTACATGCAAGTGTAGACCTTCCAAACCATGGTGTGGAACAGCCTGGAACAGCCTCAAAGGAAAATCAACCCCATAAACCCAACCTAGAGGAAGGCAGACATCTCTCTACTCAGGATTAAAGCCCCCCTGGCCGTAAGGAACCCCCACCCAACCAGATCTTTTCCCCAAGGTGATGCCAAGGTCTCTTTTTAAGCAATTGCCCAATTACCAGCAGATCTGCAGGCAGGTCCCCCCTCTCACCCCATCAGCCCATCCAAGGTCATCACCCTATCACAGGGTGTGGGCTGATGGCACACACTGTGTCCCACCTCGGGCAATTTGGAGATCGTACGATTAGCTGGACATGGAGTTCCTGGTGGGGCTGAGTGCCCAAGGTGCTGCTGACATTATTGGTGTGACGGCCTGTGCCATCACAATCTGCTGGTGTCTAAGGAAGATCCTGCACAGGAGCACACACCTCCCTAGCATATGCCAAAATGCTTCTAACAGCCCTTGTTATGAACTGTCTCTGATTTTTTTTTTTGTCTGAGAATTTTACTTTCTATTCTCTAATGATTTGTTCTGGTGTATATCCAGATTTTTTATAATCTGGATGTAGTAGCTTTCATCATGTTTGAGCCTACTTCTGTTACTTGTTGCCATCAAAATAAGAAATCTGCTTCATTAGTGACCAAAGCTGAATTTAAATGTAAAATAACATGCCAGAAACTGGTCTATGACTGAAAGTTCAGAATAATTTACTCCAATTATGTAAGTTTACACTGCAGTGCTGTCCTTTAAGAAATATATGTGTGTATATACATGCAGCAGCCCATTCTATCAGTGTTGTAATTGCCACTGCCTTCAAAGACTGTATATGATTATTCAAAAGCATTGAAACTGTTTGCTAGAGGGTGCTGAGCAGTTCGTATAAATAATCAAAAGTATCCTATTTTCAGGTCTAATAGCTCTTGTCGTCTTCAGTTTTATCAGTTGAAAAAGTGTTCTCACTTTTCTAATGCAACCTTGTTGATGTGCAAAAGAATGTAAGAGGCAGACACCTTCTGTGTGCTAGCTGTGTTCTGGCTAGCAGAATTTTTAAGAAAATATTTAAGGTGTGTTTGGACACCAGTATGGAAAGACACTTTGACCAGGTTTCATAAGTGGAAATTAATACCAAAAATTAAATTTTATTAGCACTGTTAGTTCCACACAACCTTTCAGCTAAGGTATCAGAAGTTATTTTTCTGTTCTAAATTACATCATGGCTATCTTGAATGGATTTTGTTTGTTTAACACTTAGGAAAATAAGTAACATTAGCAAAATATAATCTCGAGTTTTCCTTCAGAAGTTGGGGTTCTTCCACTCTAAGTATTGCTTTTAATTCTCTTGTGCTTCTTTGGTACTGCATTGCATAACAAAACTAAAAGGAAACTGAACACTGCTCTGCTCTGCCCCTATTGTTATTTAGCATGTGCAATGGTTAAATTGGAAATTTCTATCCTGTGTGTTACATTGGTGTTTAAATGGGTTCTCAGAGGGGGCAGCTTTGCTCTCTGTCTCTCACCAGTATGATGGTCTAAATCGAGGGAGATGTGCAGAGCAGGTCATCCCTGCCATTACTTGCATCAGTAGGGAAGTTGCCCATGACTTTGATGGAAGCAGATCCATAGCCCATGTGCTAGTGGAACATTACAGGAGAGATGCCTCAGTAGCCTGTAATCAGGCTTGAGCTTAGCAAGCCCCAGCTGCAAAAACACACGGTTCCCCTGCCAAGGGCTGAAGCAGAGACTGTTTTCTCAAGCTAAATTGATCAAGTGACCTTTTGGCAGCCTAAGAAATTAAAACCTTTCCTTCTCAAGTTTTTGGGGGTTTTTTTTGAGTTTTGGTTTGGGGTTTTTTTGTTTTTGTTTTTTGTTTTTGTTTTTGTTTGGTTTTTGGTTTTTTGGTTTTTTTTTTTTACTGGGGAAGAAAATTCAAGGTCCATCATGTCCATTCTGGTTTGATGGTTTTCATGGACTACCAAGCAACCAAGTAAACCTGGTCTGAGCACTGAATGTTCATTGTTTTTGTTACCTCTCCAGTTTGTTTGCTTCCTCCTTTGTAAACACGGAAGTATGAGGGAGCAGAAAGATGAGGGAAGAGGTGGCTTCTCTTAGGTTTGCTGGTGACTGTTTTGTGATGGGTTCTTGCTGGTTTGCAGACCACTGCTTGGAAAACAGCCGTGTAAAAGATGTTCTCTCAGCTGGGTTTGAAGTACGGCTGAGATAAGAAAAGACACTTATGATCCAGCACATAGGCTCAGACACCAAAGCATGGTTTCCAAGCCCACTGTTTGCTCACAGACCCAGCTGTAACCTCCCTGAAGCTGCTGCTGTACTTGGCTGAGCACAGAGCACAGCCCCCTTCCCCCTGCCGTGTCCCACTGAGGTCATCCTCATTTGGTGAAACAGTTAAACAAGTTTCACTTGCTCGAATACATGTTTCTTTTAGACCCACTGATGACAGTGATGACTTGTTTTTGTGGAATGGAAACTTTTCTTGTGATACATAACCCATCAGTGATGCCCATCCCCTACAGATGCACATGCATGTTTGCCAATGAACCTCCTATTGAGCCTGGTACACACACTTCTCCCTAAAAACTGTTCATGTGCATAATGTTTTCCAGATTATGGCCTGGCTTTATAACTAATTTAAAAACTAAATTAAATGTTTCTTCTCCAGAAGTGAAATTCTGCTGCAGAAGTGTACATCATGCAGTTGAGACATTAAAGGTTTTAATATCCGAACTCCATTAAATGAATTGTTTTATCATTTGCAGAGGATTCATTACTTTCTAAGAGGCCTTTTGTCAAATAAGCATTTTGCAAACTAAGCTAATCAGCTCTGTTCCTGTTTATAATTCTCCCACTACAAATATTTATGTTATAATTTGTCCTTCTGCTTTCCTGCCTGTCTAAGCACAAGCACATTAATTTTTTTTTTGACATGCCATTCCTTTCATACATAATAGAAAATCATAAACTCTCTGTAGTTTTTTGTAGGCCACTGCAGAGAGTTGAACAGGACCAGCAGGAGAGACAAAGGGCTGTGCTAACTGGTGTCAGGCATGCCACCATATCCCTCCTCACTCGTGTGCTTTTTACCCCCACACCTCACCCCGGTGCTGCCAGAAACTACATCCCTTGCACTGCTCTCATGGTGCAGAGTGGCTGGATTTGGAGAGAGGATATCTGGCCTGTTGTGGAGGATAAGACCACCCACCATGCTGGGGGTGTCCCTGATGCTCCTGTCTCCAAACTGGCCTGCTGGCCCTGTGCCCAGGTCCTGCAGGACAGACTGCCATCAGCACACAGGCTCAGCTACCCACTGGCACAGCAGCCTGGGCATGAGCTCCATGAGGTGCCCCAGCTGGCACTTGGTGTCTGTGGCTGTCAGATGAGGTGGCTCAGAGCTGGCTGGCACGTGGCCCTGCACACACGTGGCAGTCAGGAGCTGGAGGACAGGGCAGGGCATCCCCTGGGCAGGCCTGTCCCCTCCTCACTGTGTCTCTTGCTGCTCTGGCATCAGCATCTCCCTAGGTGCCTTGGGCACCCCCTGTGCTCCTTGACCCCCTCAGCTCTGCTCCTGGCAGAGAGAACATCAGTATCTCCCTAGGTGCCTTGGTGTCACTGGGCACCCCCTGTGCTCCTTGACCCCCTCAGCTCTGCTCCTGGCAGACAGAGCTGGACTAAAGAGATCTCCCGAGGGCCAGGAGCATCAGAGCTCAGGCAGTGGCACTTGAGGTTCTCTGCTGGCAAGGGGTACATGGGCAGCCTGACAGAGCCTCTCTGTAACGTGCCAAAGGTTATAAAGCAGCACAAGACAATTAAACCTCACTCAGTGTGGAAAGCAATGCAGGTGGTGTTTGCTGGGGGGGGGCATGAGGAGAAGCCTTTGTGATGAGAGCAGGAATGCTGCTTGTCCCACCTGACTAACCCGTGTCTTAACTGTGCTTGTTGTTTCCAGGCGTTCACGATTCAGGGGCAGTATGCCATCCCTCATCCAGACGTGAGTCCAGCACATGTAAATTATTCCCTTTTTGTTCCTCTCCCTCTTATTTGTTCTGGGCAGCATTTGCTTTCTGCAGTTAGCAATGAAGACATGGCCTAAGGTCACCTTTCCTGACCAACACGGTCTGTAGCCAAGTGTTAGCCCAGCTGCATCTCTTACCTTGTGTAAAAATTGCTAGAAAGTACAATGGCCCAGGAACAAATGACAGTTATCTTGGTCTTTTTGCATGTGATATATTTGAGTTCTCTTAATATGTAATTCTACAGTAATTAGTTAATATTAACAATAGCCATTACATGTAATAACAGTAGAGATGTCATTTATAACCAGTTTGTTTTTGGTTTCTTTTTTCTCTACAGTAGATTAGAATGAATTATTAAACCTTTTATTTTTCAATATAATTTTAATTAATCCAGTTTTAGAACACGTAAGATGGTTTCTCTGCTCTGAAATAATTCCATTTGATTGGTTAGTTCTAATTTCCCATCCTGCCCTGCAGTTGACCAAGCTTCACCAGTTGGCTATGCAGCATCCCCCCTTTACTCCCCTTGGGCAGACCACCCCTGGTTTCCCTGGTACGTACCCATGACCCCCTGGGGATGTCCTTCTTCTTAACAGCTTTGTTTCCCGTGGTCATTACATCATTTTAATAATAAATGTGGTCAATGACCAGCAATCCTTCTGTTTTTACACATTAATCTCTCTTCTTCCCTCCCGTACCTCTGTTACAGTTCCTTTCATCATTACTAGAACTTGCTTTGTTTGTTACTTTTGTTAATCACAACTGCTTCATTTGTGCCCTTGGCTAAAAGCCCTGAGTTTCTTCTGTTCAGTCCTTGCAGGGTTATTGTGGACCATACAGTATGTACCAGTTGGTTCTGAGGGAAGTGCTTGGGCATTTTTCTATCCATGCTTTGGTGACATGGATCTCAGAGAAAAGCAAACATGGGAAAACAATTTGTGCTCATGGCACAGAAACACCAATTAAAGAAACCATGGCATGATGAAGTTGAATTCTTGTAGAGCCAAATGTCTTGAGAGCATCTGTAATCATCACTGCTGGGATAAGTGCCTCACTTCCTACTAGATAACACAGATATAGCTACAAAATGCAATGGAAATTTAGTTAAGGACTTAAAAATTTGCTCCCTAGTTAATAAAGCTGAGGCTGAATTCTTGATTAAAGAGTGAGAAGTCACTTGAGCCTGCAAATGAACATTTTTACTGTGCTTCACAACATACATGCTTGGCATCTAAAAACTTCACAGAAGTGCATCTGTTACTGGTACATGCTTTGTATGGCAAATAACATTTTATTGCATACATCACAAATTCTGTGAGCAACTTGACTATTTGATACTCAGTGTGAAATAAGCTTGTGCAATTCATAATTGAATATAAACAAATAAAATTAGTCACTTTTTAATATAATATTTGTTTTTTGTATATTCTAGCTAGAAATTACTATTTTTGGCATATCTTTACAGATAATACAATAAACACCAAAAAAAGAGAGAAGAAGAGAAAGATTCATGACATCAAAACATACTTTTGTTTCTTTGTGATGTATCTGATAAAATATCTACAAGTAATACTAAAGGGCCTTTCCTAGCTTTGTGTTTTCCTTATTCTTGTCATTAACATCCTGCTCCTTAATCTTTTCCTGGTTATATTTGTGAGATGTACGTTTCTGTAATGTTACTGTGTGTTAGAACAGTAATTCCATTTTTCCTGAGCATTTTCCTTTTGTCCACCCAATTTACAAACAAATGTATGCAGCTTAGAGTACTTTGTCCATTGCCCTTCCAAAATTACCTTTCCCAACATTTCTTCAGGAACTAATCCCACATATAATTTCCAGATTCTTAGGTTAATTTTTTTGTCTTTATTTTAATTTTTTTGTTATTTTTCATAAACATGTATTTTGTTCAGCTAAGTGTTCATTTGACATCCACTTTAATTTTCCATATTCTGGAATTCCTAGTAGACAGGTCCAATTTCAGCCATACATGAATTTCTCAATTGATGTGTTTAGAACAAGCTTCGGAGACATATTTTTAGAGGAAACCCTTCATTTTCTAGAAGCTTTTTATGATGACCCTATGGAATCTCATGTGACATTTGTTGCTTTGGTGGGTTAAAGGTTAATTAAAATAAGACTCATTTAAAATTAGTCCAGCCCTCTGAGTTTTGCATCCTTTGCTTTCTTTTCTGTTTCACTATCAGTTCTCTATTTTTCTTTGCTCCTTTCTTTTCTCTTTTTTTTTTATTTCTCTCCTTTCTGTATGTTACCTTCTTTAAAATTTCATTTGTTGTGTCTTGCCCTTCTTGCAAACAGCTGGCGTAACATTTTCCCTCTGTCCCCTGAATAGGACTGGATGCCACTACTCCAACCAGTTCCCATGAACTTACTATTCCCAATGATGTAAGTGGACCAATAGTCCGTATCTCTTTCTCTTCTCTCGCTCCTCTGCCACCAGAGGGGACACCTCTGACCTTTGGCTGATCTGTAAACACCGGCCCCAGAATAAATGGTGCAGCACTTAGTCTGTGGGAGGGGTTGGTGAAACGCTGGATGGCAGCGGCAGGAGTGGCTGTCCCCTCTCATGCCCCTTGGTGACAGTGCCACGGGGCTTCACTGGCTTCATGAAAGCCTGGCTTCCCAAAACTCATCTCTCAGGTGGCACTGGCACGGGTGGTCTCAGCAGAGGGGCCAAAGGGGGTGGAAGGATGTGCAGCCCCATGTGCTGTGTGTTGGGCTGGAGTTCTCCATGCCCATCTCCACTGAACCCCACACTTACCCAAGAATTTTTCCTGAGCCAAAAAGCTACTTTAGAAATGTAAAGGTGCGGTATAAGGGTTTATTTAAAAAAACAAGGGCTAGGAACACTCCTGCTCCAGCAGCTCTGGGTTGTTTGTGATTGACAGGCCCAGCGTCCCTGAGCAACATGGTGCTGAATCTCAAAACAGTTCAAAATGCCCAGATGATATGCTGGGCATCACATAAAAATGCCTTCCCCTTTAATTCGATTTCATTGCAGACAGAGTTGGGGGTCTTTTTTCCATTTTCATTACAAATGAGTCACTTGGAAAATGGAAATATTCCCCTCCAGTAAAAAAGCTTTGAAGCATGAGTGGGATCACAAAGAGCAATTATACTATTTAAGAGATACTTACAATATTGTGCAAGCCCTATTAAACTCAGTGGCAATGATTTACAGTAAGAAAAATATACAAAGTGGAGGTGTGAATGCTGTGATTCATTAAGCTTTCTGTTATGTAAAAAATTCCCTGCTGATTTATCAGTTCCTGCTTTGCAACCAAATTCATATTAAGTTGAGAATTTTTTAGGAGCACCTTCTTTATCCTTATAGCACAAGTTTCTTAATTTCACTTTCAGACAAATGTTCTTGCCATCAGTTATAAATCCAAGGTCACTCTTCTGACTTATCTTCTTTTGGGGTTCATGGCAGAGAAAGGGAGGGAGAAAGTTGGCCCTGGGTCCTGTAGTGCCATACAAAATTTTTAAAAACCATCAGTTTCTCATCCATGAGGTGTGAAATACCCCAGCTCAGTACTGTCCATGAACAGCAAACACGAATCTGCACGATGATTCTCATAGAGGGTTTTTCTGTCTGTGCAGTCTGTGTCTTGCTGTTGCTGCTTAAGGAGCAAAGCTGAGGCTAAAATGGGGTTTGGCTTAGGAAGAGCCTGCAGGAGCTCTACAGGTGGGGAGAGGGAGTTCTGATGTTTGTATGGTGTCAGCATGTGCGTTAGAGGAACAAAAGGTCGGTGCTGCCCACCTGAGCTCTGTGTGCTCCTGTTTGTGTGTGCTCCTGTCTGTGTGTGCATGCCCAGGGCTGAGAGCAGAGGCAAGAGCAGGCTCTTGTCCTGTCAGGTAGCAGGAGCTGCTTGGGAATTTTGCAGGTGCCTTCCCTGGGGTCTCCCAGTGTGACCATGCATACTGGTGTCCCATGTCCCCATCACAGCTGCACTAGGGGTGCTCTCCAAGCAGCCCAGTGCTAAAAATGTATTTCTTTTTGTCAGCAGTGGTGTGACCAGCAGGACCAGGGCAGTGAATGTCCCCCTGTGCTTGGCTCTGGTGAAGCCACATCTCAAATGCTGTGTGCCATTTTGGGCCCCACAGTTCAGGAAAGACATTGAGGTGCTGGAGAGAGTCCAGAGAAGGGCAGTGAAGCTGGTGAAGGGTCTTCCCACGAGGAGCTGCTGATGGAGCTGGGGCCGTTTTAGGCTGAAGAGAGGAGGCTCAGAAGGGACCTTATTGTTCTCTGTAACTACTTGACAGGAGACTGTAGGCGGGTGGAGGTTGTTCCCTTCTCCCGAGTGAATGACAGGAAAAGAGGAAGTGGTCTTAGGATGTTGCACCAGAGGAGGTTTAGATTGGATATTAGGAGAAAGGTCTTCACTGGAAGGGTGGTCAGACATTGGAACAGGCTGCCCAGGAAAGTGGTGGAATCACCATCCCTGGAAGTGTTCAAAAGGACATCCAGAAGTGTTCAAATGGACATTGTGGATGTGGCACTTGAGGACTTGGTTTAGGGGTAAAATGATGGTGCTGGGTTAATCATTGGGCTTCATGATCTCAGAGGTTTTTTCAATCTTAATGATTTGAAGAGAAATGAGGATATGAGGGATACAGAGAGAAATGAGGCAGTGAGGCAGCAGGGTGGGAAGGCACCAGCACCATCAATCAGATGCTGTGTCAGAGGGAGGTCAGGGTGGGAGAGGCAGCAGCAGCAGCTGTGCAGCAAAGCCTGCGTGGGCCATTTGACTTTGCTTTCCCAACAAGCATCTCCTAGTCCCAGTTTTGATGAGCAGGCTGTCAGTGTGGGCAGTGATTGTTTATCTGGCTGAAGGTGAAGGAAGCTGCAGGCCCTGGCAAGGAGCTGCAGTGCAGCCCTGAAGCTGCCCGTGGTTTGTCCCCTGCCTGCTCCAGCTCCAGGGATCCGCTGTGCTGCACAAGTTCCACAGCTTTCTTATCATTTCTGCTTATCTGTGTAAAAGTCCAGCACACATGAGAACACCATGAGACCTGCACATACCCACATGCTTTGCAGCTATCAGAGAAATCAGTGTATAGCTACACGTGCTACATACTTTTATATACTTTTTAAGACCAAGATAAGGAAAAGCATACCTCAGTAAGAACATGATAGAGCAAAATCAGATGTAAAGACAATGAGGAGATGAGAGTTTAGCTTAGTCTATAGCGAATAGATGTTAATACCCTTTTACAAATTGCATAGCTTCATATTAAAATAAATTTTCCTCACTCCCTCTGGCATTTAGGCAGTGACAGAAATTTATTTTTCTATTATTAATAATTTCTGTAAAAACATCATGCTTCTTTCTTCATGCAATATGCTGACAATTGCAATTAATCTGTTGCTCAATAACAAAGAGGTACTGGAGAACAAAAAAAAAAAATCCAGAAAGTTATTTTTCACATGCTAAAAGCTGAGGCTTCCTCTCCAAATAATGAATTCAGAAGATTTGCCTTTCTAGGTTTTTTCATAACTTCTGTGTAACTCCAAAAAGAGAACAAAGAGGACACTTCTCCCAGTCCGTCTCAGAAGTCACCTTGGTCTTTATCTAGTATCTCATTTTGATCATCAAAGCCTCCTACAGGGGCATTTGGTTGCCTTTCTTTCCATGCTGGGATCTTGTCTGTCCTTCCACTGCTGCCCAAGTTACACAATATAAGTGTGTATAAATCCCAGAATAAAGTGGCATAAACAGGTCCTTAAAAGAACCTCAAAGAAGAGATGGGACCCTTGGGTGTAGATAACAGATGTCTTAAGATTTCATAAATCAATATCCCAAAACATCCATTGAGAATAACTGAACAGACCAATAATAATTTAAAAACCTGTCTCATAAAAATTAGGTATATTTTGCATATATGTGGGAGAGGCAGTCAGGGACAAGCAACAGGAAAGCAACTTGCCCACAGAAAGCACTAAGAACGCTTAAAGGCAGCTGTAAATCTGATCACTACTCCATAGAAACAGAAGTGTCAGTCCATGCAAGATGGATATGGCTGACTTGAAGAATTGCCTTTATTTCCCTATGGTGCCTCAAATACTTCCCTGCCATGGGACCCACATGTGCAAAAGGTTTTCGGAGCAGCCCACGTTTTCTCAGTTTTCTATATGGCTTATTGCAAAGTCTGTGCAATTATTATGGTCCAGATTTTGCATTGTTGTGACAAGGAAATTTCTTAACATTATTATTGTTTTGTTCTTAAGAGATACAGAGCATCTTTTTCCAGGCCCTGCTGCAAGTTTGTAAAGAACTATAATCTGCCTCAGGAGATATTTCCCCCTATAGTGTACTCTGCCCCAGACCTTCTAGTTAAAAAACACAAAACAGACCAACCCAGACCTGAAACCAAGAGTTTCAGCCTGTATCTTTCTGAAAAGAGATTGAAGAGTCTCGTTCTGATGAGCACCTGCTTGCTCAGCTAATGCAGAGGCTTCACCAAAGCACATGGACTGGCTGTGTTGGCAGCAGGGAACCAGGGGGAGCCATGAGTACCTGTGGTCAACCCCTCTGCTCCTGACAGCAGATACCAAGTTGCAGAGGCTAATTCTTGGTCCTTTTGTACAAGCACTACATTATAAGAAAGGAAACCAATTCTTTTTCACCAGTGTTTAAAATCTCCATGCCATTTCCTGTGGCAGTCAATGCTCTGCAGCATTGAACTCTTTTATAAGACTTTGTGAGTGCTTTAGCATTACAGGAAAATTTATATATATATATATATATATATATGTATATATGTAAAGCATTTATATAGCATTTATATTTAGCATTATGGGGAAAATAAAATAATGGAAGAGAGGTAGCTGAACCAGAGATGCCATAGCATATTGGGAGAAATTATTTGCATCAGTAATTTGGAGGTGGGAGGAATTATAGGAGACTTTCAAATCCCACCCTTTAAGGGTCCAGACTCCTGAATCAGTTCTGTTTCCATTTGTGTCAGCAGAACTTCATCAAAGAACAGAGCAAAGCTAGAAAAAGGCAAAAAGCAGAACATGTGTTTCAGGGTTGGTTTGTTTGGAGATTTTTGGCACAAGGAGAAATGAGGTATGTTGAGGTTGGGGAAGATAGACAGAGGTGGTGTAGAGAAAGTGGAAAAGGAACCATTTTTACCTGGTGCTCACAGATCAAGGAGGGTACACCAGCTGATATTTTGGGTGTACAAACAAATGGTGATACTTAACACATCAGCAAGCTCTGCAAGTCACTGCCATGGCCCTTGGACAGCAAAAGGAGAAACAGGTTCAAAAAGAAATTGTCAGACAGATGGACTGTGGAGCATAAAGGCAGAGATAGCAGCTACTGCTGTCTGGTGGTCTGTAAGCCTTAGGAGGGAATTTGAAATACCAGTGGAAACTTTATTTTATACCTCACACTGGTTTTGCCTTTTTTTTTTCTCTTGTAAGGGTGTGTCTCTGCCACAGTCAGAGACAGACTACTGGGCTTGATGTACATCTGATGTCAGCTCTTCCAGCCAAGTCTTGAGAGAGTCAAAATATATATGCGTATACGTGTACATGCTATGTACATATGTATCTATTATAGATACTTATAATACAAGTATTCATGGAGTGGGTAAATCACAGAGTGGGTCAGGTTGCAGGGACCACAGGGCCATCTGGTCCAACCTCCCTGCTCCAACAGGGTCATCTTAGAGCACATGGCACAGGATTGTGTCCAGATGATTCATTAATATCTTCAGTGAGGGAGATTCCACAACCACTCTGGACAGCCTGTCCCAGTGCTCAGTCACCCTCAACAGTGAAAAAGTTCTTCCTCACATCCAGGTGGAACTTTCTGTGCATCAGTTTTTGCCCATTGATTGCCTCTTGTCCTATTGCTTGGCACCACCAAGAAAAGCCTGGATCCACCCTCTTGGCACCCTCCCTTCAGATTCTGACATTCATGAGGTCCCCTCTCAGTTGTCTCTTCTCCAGGCTGAATAGGCCAGGTTCCCTCAGCCTTTCCTCATAAGAGAGGTGCTCCAGTCCTTTACTCATCTTTGTGACCCTGCACTGGACCTGCTCCAGGAGCTCCGTGTCTCTCTGGTACTGAGGAGCCCAGAACTGGACACAGCACTGCAGACGTGGCTCACCAGGGCTGAGTAGAGGGGCAGGATGACTTCCCTTGATCTGGGCAGTGTTACTTATTCCTAATGCTCCCCAGGATGTCACTGTCCTTGGCCCCAAGGGTACACTTCTGGGTCATGGACAGTTTGTTGTCCACCAAGAACCCCCAGATCCTTCACCACAGAGCTGCTTTCCAGCAGGTCAGCCCCCACATTTATTGAATTTCAGACAGTTCCTCTCTGCCCATCTCTCCACCCTATCGAGGTCCCTCTGAAGGGCTGCACAGCCCTCTGGGGTGTCACCCACTCCTCCCAGATTTGTGTCATCTGAGTCTTCATTTGAGTCATTGATGAACAGGTTAAACAGCACTGGGTCCAGTATCGAACCTTGGGGGCCACCACAAGTGACAGGCCTTCAACAGGACCCTGTGCCATTGATGATTATACTTATTAGTAAGTACAGTATTAAACTACAGTGTATAGCAGGCTTGGTATAGTCTGTGCTAGGTTTGGCTCCTCTCCCAATTGGGTCAGAGGTGTTTGGATGCAGTTTGACATGATTCTATCTCAGAGCAAGGCATCTCAGGCAGATCTCTTTATGTAAAACCAAATGCCCATAACCAAATATCCCTTGAATTTCTTCAAGAGCACATCAGCTCTTGAATACTCAGATACTGCTCAAATTTCAGTGTAAGTAACATGTAATGAGAAAGGCACCTCATAGAGAGCCCAAGTCCCCAGCACTACGATTCTTCCTGCATGGAGTTGTGTGTTCTGCACGAGCCACAGGCCATGTCACAGCTTGCAGAGGGTGTCCAAGCATCTTGTTGTCACAGCAATGAAGGGTGACTTTGGAGAGCTTCAGGCAAAAAAGCTACCAAACCTCTCTTTAAGACACCACCATCACCAGTGTCCTTGACCAGCGTGGACTGAATCCTCACTACCTAACTCAAACTCAGCTAAGAGACAGCACAGTCTTTGCACTGACCCACCTGGGTGACAAGCTGGGCATCACTGGAGGACCCCCAGCACATGCAAGTGGCAGCTTGCTGAGTGACCCCAGCAGGTTCCTTCTCTGCCCGTGCTCTGGTGCTCTCCTCTCCTGCACCAGCTTCACTCCCTGCAGACCACGGAGGCCAGTGAGACTGAGGCATCAGAAGCAGAGGCTTAGGGATCCCTGTGCTGCCCACAGGTAGCCAGAGCAGGCACATTGGTGTCACACAGACAGGCCAGAGGCTTCCTGGTGAAGCACACACCAGTCCTCTGTACTGGCATGTAGTCACACACTCAGAGATTCCTTGGGATGAGGACAGGGAGCTCAGCGAGACCCTCCTGTTGTAACAGGATGGGAAATCCTGTGTGCATTTCCTGCCACCCCTTTTTTCCCCCCTTGTGGTTGCTCCTCTTGTGCTCGTCAAAACTTGGTCTTTGTTTCAGCTACCTGGGTATCCACTTTGGCTTTCTGTTTGTCCCTGAGTGTGAAGCAAGGATTGCGTTTGGAGGTTTTTCTTCTGTTGATAAAATATGGGGACAACGTGAATCTGTTTCTGGCCAGTTACTCCAAGTACTACAGTACCACAAAGGGTAACACGTCAGGGCCTGAAGCAGCGGGAAGAGTGGGAGGGGAAGGGCAGTCTCTGCATCTTGGCATATCCTTCTGCAAAACCGCCAACATTATCCCAGCATTAACAGACCTGTAGAGCAAAGTCTCTGTTTTCTACTCATTCTGGCCATGACTGAGCTTCTCAGCACCCAGAACAAAACCCCCCTCCTCACCTATACAGAAATCAAAACATCTCAGCCTCAGCTGCTGGCTCCGCGCCCTCTTGTTCCTGGGGGCTCCCCATGCTGGAGGAGAAACACCCTGGGACACACATGCACACACACACACACAGCTCAGGCTCAGCTCTATTCACAAAACAAGAGTTTTGGTAAGTTTCTGTAAAGGAAGGCAGACAACTTTCAGTATCTTCCTATGCCTGCTTCTGCCTGCAGTCAGAGAGCTGTAAATCCCACTGACTTTAATGCACAGTACCTGGCCAAGCAAGCACCACGTGTACCCAGGGAGGCGTAGGGCTGTCAGCGCTCTGGAAAGGTGCAGAGCCACACACAGCAGCTGTGGATAGTCAGCCTGGCTTCCGAGCAGCAGCTTTCGAACATCACAGCACGCTGTCATTTTCTGCCACTGAGACAGTGAAATAGTCTTGAAACACCAGAAATAAGATACTGACTTAACCATGTAGCAGCAAAACTGGATCTAGAGGCATATGACCATAGAGACAATAGACTGCACTAGAGATTCCTTCCATACAGCAGAGCAAAAATCTTTTTGTTTTGCTACTGAGCTGCTCATAACCATCTTTTTAGCAATACTACAGATTGCAGTTAAGTGGGTTTTGCTTGTGTCTGTGGCACTAATCTCAGTCTTTGTCCCGCTCCAGTTAATAGGCTGCATTATTGGCAGACAAGGCAGTAAGATAAATGAAATCAGGCAGATGTCAGGAGCGCAGATCAAGATTGCTAATGCCACAGAAGGCTCCGCAGAACGACAAGTTACAATCACAGGATCCCCTGCAAACATCAGCTTAGCACAGTACCTCATTAATGCAAGGTAAGTTGGCTTTGTAAGTGATCATGCTTCTGCGAGATTGCTCTGTCTGCTCTCCAGCAAATGTCTGTCCTGGGTAGATCCAGAAAGTTGCTTTGCAGTGTCCATTTTGCGTAGTATTACTCAATTCCTAATGGTTTGTAAAGCCTGTATCATTAGAACCTGGGTTTGCTGTTGGCTTATATGAAAAGGAGCTTAATCCGGTGCAATTCCAGCTACGTGTTGAATGACAAAAGCTGCAAAATCTGAATACTCATATTAGCATCCACTTAAAATATTGGTGGATAAATTAAATAAAATTAAAAGCATAAATTGTTTAGAGGAAAAACACTTTTCACAGACCCATTTTACTACCCTGAATGGCAAATATAGTGAAACACATTGTAAAACAGATTTAATTTACCAAGTGGAAATTGCCATTCAGAGTTGATAAACTGACATCAGGTTGCTGAAGACGCACAGGATTTACTTCTTCAGAGACAGCACCACAAATGTGTAAGAAGCATTCCCTAAAGAGACAGGGTGAGACTATCTGCTTCTCCACTTCCTGGTCCCAGACTTAATGAAAGCACTGGCTGTTCACCTAAGCCATGGTGATGGCTTAGGTCTCTTAACAGTTTTTACATGATTATTTAGAAAAATATTAAAATGGATCCCACTTTCATTTGCAATTATGCGGAGAAGAAAGTGCAGTGGATATAGTGCTGTCTCATAGATCTACTTGTAAATGCTGGACTGAAGCAATATATGGGGGGGGAGGGGGGATAGCTATGTATTTTATGGGATTACTTTTCTTTTTCCCCCAACCCCCCCACAAAATTACTGTGATATGAATCAAGCTTTGTGTTTAACTGTGTTTGCTGTTAAGGTAGTACAAAGTATGTGATTTATGTGGGAGCTGCAGTCACCGCAGGTCTATGGCTTCCTGTGGTCCAGCCTCCTCTCCATCCCAGTTTTGTAGAGCACCACTGCAATGGTTGCCGTGGAGGAATGGGATGTTTGTGCAGCTCTGTGCTCTAGCAGACAAAAACACTGCTTTTCATAATTTAGTCTGAAAGCAGCTTCCTAGGGAAAGATACATGTAGGGGTGGCACTGTGAAAACTAGGATAAACCATTTCCAGAATCTTAAAACAACCTACAGCTCTTTTGATTTATATTCTTTGTAGCAAATATAAGTCACTTCCGTAAGCCCTGTAATCAAATAAAAATGTGTTCCCTCCTTTAACCCTTAAGGATATGTTCTTCTCTTGGTGTTCAGGGATTCCCCACACATCGAGACGAGAATAGACCCCTTCATTTTTAGTTGCACAAACACCACATGGCATGCATCTGGATCTCGGAAGATAACTATTTAGGATCTTGAAGACAGCTAAAGCATGCAAATATAATAATGCACTTATTAATGGAGTTGCAGTGAGCTGCTCACCAGAGACAGAAACTCTAGTGAACAAAACTGTTTGACTCACTTTAGAAAAATCTGTGAACTTTCACACTTCTGTTGATTACTGTTTAATGGTTCTTGTGGTGGAATGGGATCTATATGAGGTCTTTTAACATACTGTCGCAAAGAAGAAAACTCCTCAGCAGTCATATACCACGGATCTCTATCTATATCCTGTGAAACCAGAAAGTATTCTGTTCCTGTTAAATTTCTAGATAGAAGTCATTTGTTACCATCATCTACAATAAACGATCATATATTATTATGTACCATGTGTTGGAACTGTATTTAGATGAAGTGACTTCATTTGTAAATGAAGACTCTTAAAGTAACGTGTACTAAATTAAGCTGAAAGGTAACATAGGCAATTAAGGTGGCTTTTTCGTTTTAAAAAGCGACACTGTTCCAGACCTCTCCTTTCACATGAGACACTGCTGTTCAGCCAGGTGCCACCACAGCAGCAGCGTGAGTTCAGTCCCACTGGGGCGGGACTGAGAAGCTGTGAGACAGGCAAGAGGTTTGCTCTAGTGAGGTTTAGGGGCTGGGGCAGGACAGAGGTGCAGAGCCAGGCTGCTGCTGCTGCTGCTGCCTCTGTGTGCTGGGATCCACCTCCTAAACCTGCCACAAGTGATGCTATCTCTTTTAAAGACGGTGGCATAAAACAGCTTTGAGGAAGAGACAAGTACCTAGACTGCCCAAACTGTGGTCTGGTATGTGAAAATAATAATCACAAAAAATAACAGCCCTATAAGCGTTCAGTGTAAGGTAGACCTTTTTCTCCTCTACAAGATCTATTGTTCATGGTAATCGGTTTCCAGGACCAGTGTTTCTGCATAAACCCATGTCTTTCAGAAACATAAGATGTAAAACAAGCAAAATTATCTATCCACAGTATTCCTGAAACATATTGCGTGTATCTTTAAGCTGTCCTCCAACCAAAGTTGCTGTCTATAGAGTAATTTATCAGCTTGCTTTAAGACTTTTATTGCAATCTGGTGTTGGATATGTACATAGTATATTCTAAATTATAGATATATAAATTTATTGATGTCATATCAAGACAGAGATTTAAATCTTACAAAGTATTGGTTTGATTCCGTATTGCTTACCCGAGCGCTGGCCTCTGTATGAATACAGTGTGTCTTAGCTTGTTTGCAGTTGGAATGTCCTTTTTCCTGTAAAGCCTTCTGTCTCTTTAACTGGTCTCCGCTGTAGTAACAAGATTTTCATTACCCAATTCCATCTTCTTGCTTTTATTAAGATTGAACTGCAGTTTAATTTTTCTATATAATATCTGACTTTGGATTATAAATTAATTTAGCCAGCAGCACTTGCTCCTTGTTGAAGGGCAGTTTCCCAAAGAGGTTCATTCACAGACCCAACAGGACTGCCAAAGCCACACCTGCTCTCTTCTCTTCACCAGTTTCAGGTCATGCAGGATGTGGCCTTCAGTGTGTATATTCAGAACGTGCAGGCCTGCAGAGGGACAGTGTAAAATTGTCACTGTGAAATTTTGTATGAAGGCTGCCTCACCCCCTTTTACATGCAATGTTGTTGCATCAACAGTTTGTTTGGGAAACTGCCACTGCCATGAGACAGCTGATAGCTAACGTGAGGAACTCCGACCTTATGTATTGCCACTAGTAATAGATGGGAAAGAGGGAAAATTACTGCTACAGTCGTACCTATGAGAGTAAACCAGAGACAGGGAGTTGGAGTGGCTGCTACCAACATCAGCTTTTTGGCCTGTGGGATCTGTTCTCCCTGCTGGTGCAGGAAAAAGCTTAGGCTCAAACACCCCCCTCCCTCCATATCAGTAAGGATTTTTTTTTTGTTTTTGTTTTAATTAACAGTAGACAAATTTGGAGTCACTGAAACACAGTGCTGCAGTACCTTTCTGTGGACCTCTATCCCAGAATAATACTGAGTAATACTAAAAAATCCAACTGTATAAACTGAGTTTTTCAAAACATCCTAAGGTATCACATGTAGTTCCTACACCCCCAAGTTGAGGATGTACAGTGGAGTCTCTGATTCAGTGGTCTTGACATAAACTCTGTGTGAGTAGATGGCAAGCAGCACAAGGGTGCACTTCTCTCTGCTTAGAAAAGCTGAGTTTCTCATCCATGGGGACAGATAAAGACTTCAGGGTAGGAAAATCAAAACTTCACCTCCCACAAAGGAGTCTGAATTTCATGCACTCACCCTCCTTTCCTCCCAGCTCCTCACAGAAGATGTGCTCCTTCCACCTTCCCAGCAAAAGCTGCTGAGGTGTTTATGCTCCAAGAGCCCTCTTTTCTTTGTGGAGAAGAGAGGAGCTCAGCTCCTGCACTTTCCCTCTCTCCTGCACACTCCTCTCCCCAGCTCAGACCCACTTCAGGTGTCCTTCGGACTCACCATCAGCAGTAGTGCTTTGGGAAGCTCTAGTCCAGTGTCCCCATTGCCTACATATCCTGGTAGATCCTTGCATGAGGCAGGCAATGTGCTGGTCATTGCCTTTCTCTGGCAATGAATGGCCATGGGGCTGTTACTCTCAAAACTGTGGCTGAGGAAAAGAGAGGCTTTTCCAAGCCCTGTGTGGGGTGACCACGTTTCCTTCCCAGCCTGCAGCCTGGCTACAGCTGCTCTCCGAGCCTGCTTACCCAGTCCCCAACAGGGACCAGCACCCTGGTCCCTGTGCTGGGAAGCCTTCCTGAGCCTGATGGGCTGTGGGAAGAAAGCACCAAGTCCTCTGCATGGCCAGCCAGCAGCTTGCTGACACTTCACTCTGGAAGCAAGGAGCTGCTACAGCTCCTCAGTTCACCTCAGGAGAAAGCCCAGGAGCCTGACAAGTTAGCAATTGCCAAAAAGACAACCCCAGACTGACTAGGAATACACATGCAACTGTAGCTAGCAAAGGTTTTCTAGCCCACAGCCCTATTTCTATGCTAGGCTGCCATAGCTCCCAGCTGGTCACCTGCAAAAAGCGTCCTGAAATTAGTATTTGTGTTATTTGCCAACCCAAAAGCCAGTGCACAAGCTGCAACAAGCAAATGGGCAAAGGGAGGGTTCATCTAGGCAAACATTTTGGCATACGAAGAAAACAGCGTATCCTTGGAATTATTGTATTTTAATGTCTGAAGATGTACAGAAAAGCAGAAGTGTATGGGCCAAACTCATCCTGCCTGCTGATGGGTGGAGTTAGATTAAAGTGAAGGTGGTTTGATTCCTACACCCTCCCAAGAGCCCATCACTGCCCTGGGCTCGGAGGTCAGGTCAGTCTGGGAGTTCCTGGTGCTGGTGGGGTCTGTCTGAGGATGTGTCTGTTGTATCCATGTAGTACCTTGTGTGTCAGCTGGAAAGCTTTGTCATGTTCTCTGTAACCACGGTGCAGGCTCAGAAAAGATACCGCTGCTGTGCAAGCTGGGGTGTTCTTCAGTGTTCCTTTTTACTAATTGACTTATAAGTAGATTATTATAAGTAGATAAATACTTTGTTGTGATATTAAAAAAAAAGTCTGGGGAAAGTATAAAGCGAAGTGAACACACTGGCTAATCTGGTTTGTTTTATATGAAAAATGCA